TTTCATTGTTTCACATCCATCCACCCATTGGGATATGTTGGATGCATATACATCTAGAACATTAATTGATTTCAATACTCTACGCTTGTCGCGGTTCTACAATGGCTTTAAACTCATTGCAGATCCGCACATGTCCAAAGCTCATCGTGTGTCTGTGCGTGTTTGAAACTCATCGCAAGTCTACATGTGTCTAAAGTTCACCACAGATTCGCGCAGGCGTGCAATGGGTTACGAGTTCATCGCAGACATCCATGTAATATTGGTTCGTCATCCTTTGTGCTCTAATGGTCTGAGTGACCACTATGTACCTACATTAGCCCCCCTGCTTATGGTATCCCAATCTTTTCACGGTCATTGCTCCTATTCTTGATGAAATGCTTTGCAAACAAGAAAAATTTTATTTGGATATGTTATTAGCTCCCCTACTTATTGACAATGGTGAACTAGTCAATAAGCATTCTGGTATTCAACTTAGTAATATCTTTGGATGGGAATTAGGAGTGTTCATTTTGGGCTAACTTTTCATTCATTTTGTGATTCAGCCCCCTTGTCTTTTGACAATTTGCTTTCTGTTGATAGGCAGCTCTGTACTCGATTTATTAGCAAAGTTCTCGACCCCCTTGTCTATCGGTAGGAAGCGGATTTTCAAAAGACAACAACTAGACGTCAGAGTCTAGGCTTCCAGCCCCCTCTGGTTAGAGGAAGTTATCCCGTCTAAGGTTTAGTCCCCTGTTTCATGATAGGGTATTGCCCATCATGAATACATAGTGTGAAGTAGGAGTGTTTTGTTTGGGTGGCTTTTCGCGTTTGACTACTGTTGGATTGGTCGAGAAGCCATTATGCGCCAGTGATGTGGCATTCATCATTAGTACTTTTCATAATTGTAACTTCACATTAATGTGCTGCAGTCGCGCATGTGGCTTGGAGATTAGGTGTGATGTTTTGAAGTGGCGTTTGTGTGAGCGTCTCGAGCTTAGCGTCACGCCCCGACGTTTGTCTCCTATGCACATTACTATTGCCACTTTGAATGGAGACCAGACCGAAGATCAGTGATTGGGGGTTTGCCGAGGAAAGCACTGGCTTGGCACCAAGAGACTCAAGCAGTTTGGGATGGCCGAGATCGAATTGAAGCTGGCATTTATTGAAGGGTTTGTATGGACACCCTATACTCGGGTGGTTCAGCATTCTAATAACTAATCTTGTGACAAGGCCCAGGTCTAGGTAGATTTATGTGACATTTGCATCTTAAGGAAGTGGCTAAGATCCTAAGTTAGTAGTTTAGATAAATTCTTTGCCTGGAATATGCCAATAACATTTCAGCAACTCAAGTAGTGCATATGAGGAAAAAATGTCCCAATGACAAAAGAAAAAGTCTTTTCAACAAGTCATGCATTTACATTTCTCCAAACAAAAGTGTTTTCATCATCTCATGTAGTCCATCACCTCCATCTCCATTGCACCTCTCCAAGTCATATCAACTACAATCTATGATATTAACTCCAACAATCAAGCTTCAACACAAGTATTAGGTATGCAAACATCAACTACCTTATCTTTTATAATGCAAATCATGCTTTTTTTCATTACAATTGCAATGTTTCATCTTTGCATTAACATCATCATCATCTTCTTCGCATTGCATCCATCATGGGAGCTCTGAATCCTATACGCCCCTAATCCTCATATTAGATGGATGTCCCAACTCCCAACATCAAAGCATATTTTGGGCTTCAAAGCCAAATGCATAAAGAGCCACGCATATTGACTTATATTAAACATACATGGTTTCATGTGTAAGAACTTGTTGGGTGTCTTTCAATTGTGCTTAACAAGGAAATAAATTGGAATGACTTTTCCACACTAAATAGTTTATGCAAGAGAGAGAGAGAGAGAGAGAGAGAGAGAGAGATAGATTTTATCATTAACAAAACTCATCATTTCTTTATCTAATCATACAAAATCTCAAGGAATTGGCCAGTGAGAGATTTCACAATTTATCCAATGCTGGGACAACCATAGTCCTAGACAACCACACAAACATTATGGGTGAGAGATTCCATTTCAAAAACCCCTTCAGGAAGATTTGGGGATTGGCCTACATACGAAATCCTTTTGCCAATAGCCAAACGTGTCCTAGACAGCTATGGGAGCACACCATAGGAGCAAAATCTAGGGGAATATTTTTTAGTAAAAAAAATCATCTTCTTTCAACCTACGCTTTTGTTAAGAAAATATTTTTTCGAGTGGCATTCTTTTGAAAATGGAATGCTATTTTTTCACATTTCTATAAAAAATGGACTGTCTCCTAAAGATTTGTTGTTTAGATTATCATCCTCCACTAAAGAGGGGCAACCTGTGGACACTCCATTTTTGTGCCCTTTAGTCTTTTTTCAGTATTTTGAGCTTCAAGCATGCTTCAATTAATCTCTTAGTTGATTCATGAGCATTTTTAGAATTTCGCAAAAGTTTGGCCTTTCAGGTTAACAAATCCAACACCATAGGTACATAGACCCCAAAATTCCAATCTGACAATACCAAGATCACTCAAATTTGACACCATTTCCCTTTCATCTTAAGACCTAAAACTGGAACCGATTCAATCGTCCAATTGTTGCCATTTTGATTCTAAACCTTCTCTCATATGAAATTAGAAATCCAACCTTATAGGTGTATAGAGATCAGAATTCAAAATCCTATGATATTAATATCGTCTAATTAGGACACCGTTAACCCCTCCATCTTGAGACTCGAATCTAGACTCGATTTGGAATCTTCTTAACTAGGTTGGTTTTTAAATTACCTTGGTTAATTGGTTTAATTTACTTATTTAGATTGATTAGCTTTGTTTATTTAATTTAATTAACTAACTTTGTTTTCTTAATTAATTTAATTTATTGATTAATTGCTTAATTGAAATAATCTCTTAATTAGTGTAATTAATTTAATTTAATTTAATTAAATAATTAAATACTTATGATCATTTAATTAAATAATTAAATACTTATGATCATTTAATTAAATAATTAAATACTTATGATCATTTAATTAATTAAGTAAATTAAAACTTAATTATAATTTAGGGTAATTTATTTAGATCCTGAAGTAAATTAAAACTTCATTAAAGTGGTCCATTTTCAAACTTTAGGGTCGCAAGTGGCCTTTTTCAAATGTTAGAAGTGCCATATAACGTTGTTTAACAGATTTGTCAATGTCGTTTCAAATGCCATCTGTTTTTTCCTACAAATGGCCATTTTATCAAAGATTGAAAATGGCCTTTTCCCAAAGTTATAGGATTGTCAAAATAAAAAATCCATGAGATAAATATCAATAAAAAAAAAATTGTGTTCAACTGAAAATTTTGGTTTTCTATGAATACTTTGAAAATTTGAAATGCTCCTCATATTTAAAAGGTATATATTTTGAAATCTAAGATAAATATCATTATAAAATAAAATCAGTATCAATTGAAACTTTGGCTGTGTAGGAATTTTTTGAAAATTTCAAGTGTTACAAATCTTTTTTAAAGTACTTTGAAATATTCTGACATAAGTTAAAAATTTCAAAATTTGGGCGAAATCCAACTTAAAATTTCAAGTACTGTAGCTTACCGAAACCAAAATATTCAAAAACAAAATCATTCAAATTTGTTGTTGATTCCTTTATCCTTTGATCTGCATTTTGCAGGTTAATTCACAAGCTGCAGTTCGCAACTATTATACGTGAAGTCGTGAACAATCGATCCAAAACAAGTTAGAGTAGAGGCTTTGCTGATTGAACCATGATCTGTTAATACGTACTTCTCAACATTCTGAGGCCTGAGGGTACTTGTTAGGTCTCTATGTCATAAGCACCCATACGATATGATATCGGTAGCATAGGAAGTGAATGAGTGAAGTGATGGAGAGATACAATAATGGCGAGAGCTCCCACAAGAAAACAAAATGGAGGATATGACAAAGAAGTGCATTATATCACAATCCCGAAGCAATCTTTTCCAACTCTTCTTTAAAAAAAAAAAAAAATCCTCTTTTCCTCTCTTTATTGCATGCTCTAACGGCTACTGTGTCTCCTTTTTCAAGACCTCTTCTTTTTAGAAGAGAAAGAAGAAAAGGAATACAGATCCCACTTAAGAAAGCTTGTAAAACACAGTCTGAAATGATTGCCCAATACTCTTCATCTAGGTGCCTTCACAATCATTTATTTTTTCCTTTTCCAATAAATCTTTTTGCGCAAATCTTTATAATTAATGGAAGTTGAATTCAAATTCCCTAGCATGCCAACCTGCTGCTATTGAAATTCAAGCAGGACATGGTCTTCAGGAGAGAGAGAGAGAGAGAGAGAGAGAGACAGAGAGATATGATATGAGAAAGGGACAATAGTGTACTCTTTAACTGCACTTTTATGATGCATAGAAGGTCAGGTTTCAGAAGCTCATGCATACAGAATATTTCGGTTGAAGCTATCGTTTGGACTTAATCCAATTTAATGGAGAGCTATGTTTTCCGGATGAATGGAGAGCTCGATTATCAAAAAACTTTAGCAGATCAACAAACGACTGAAAAGTTATGGTGAATAGAGGTTCAAAACCCAGTTAGCAGGTATGTGAAATGAACATTCGCAGACTTTACTCATATATAATAATAATAATAATAATAATAATAATAATAATAATAATAATAATAATAATAATAATAATAAAACAGCACTCTTTACCAACTCAGCATAATAGAATCCGAAATTATATTGCATTTCGAACTCAAAATTAAAGTTTCAAATTATCCATACAAACATATAAAAAAAGAACATGAATCATACCAGCTGGTCTTTATTGCTTAAACCCTGAGAAACCCATAAATGAAATTTGAAAAAAGCATTTCATGGTTTGTGTTTTTTTGTAGTTTCGTCTTCTCAAAGATGCAAAAAAAAAAAAAAAAACTAACTTTCCCTGAACGTATTAAGATAATTATCAATTAAAGACAACAAAAATACCAAAAAAAAAATTAGAGACAACAATGGATCAAATACTAATACTGATTCTGGAAAGTTCGCATCACCTTGTCTAACCATTAATTTGGTTCCTATTTACATAGCCTTCTTCCTAATGATAATATCTCTCAAGAGTACTAGAATATTAATATCTCTTTAGTGAGGAAGAAAGCTAAAACATACCCAACATTATGACTCTTCAGGATCAATCTTTTCTGGGTGCAATCGCTTCTTCCCACTCAGAGAGACCCCAAAGAGCTTCACAGTGTTGTTTGGCTCCTCGGTCAATGTCACAGAGCAGCTACTCGTACCACATGTTTTAAATGTTTGAAAGCTTAAAAGAGTTTGGGACTGAAAGGAAGGAGCGATTTCTATGAGTTTAGGCCCCGAGCTCGTGGACCTTTGGTCTGGAGCTACTGGTTTTACATGGTTCTGGAGGAAGTAGATGATGTCGTTGTACAGCTTTTTCATGTGGGTTAGTTCCGATAAGAGCATGAAATTCCTTTTCCTCAGTCTCTGGTTGTCCTCCGTAAGCACGGATAAGAAATCTGATTCTCGGTTGGAGGGTGGTAATGGAGCAGGCTCAATCCAACCACCATTTTCATCAGGGTTTAAAAACTGGGTTGTGGGATCAATGTTGTGTTGCTGATGCTGTTGAGAGCTTTGAGATGTTTTTCTTCTGTGGATCTCAGATAACAAGTGTTTTTCTCCTTTCCTAAAGAACTCATTTGCGAATTCCCACCTATCTGCGACGATCTTTTTAAATCCCTGTACATAGAATAAACAGGAACAGAGAAAATAAGGAGAAGAAAATCTTTTTGTCAGAAAAAAAAAAAGGAAATTATAAGCTAAGAGCTATTTTGGAACCATCTTCGTGGACATGGAGTATTCATTTAAAAGGCTAGAAAAAGTTCTTGGAATTGATTCGAAATTGCTATTTCAGAACCAAACTTTCTTTTTGGAAGAAGACAACCCAAAACCAAAATTCTTTCAATCTTCTCGACGCTATTATCTAAACACAGAAAGCCAATATAAAAATATGGATTGCATGCCATGTCCATACCTTTCAACAATGTAAATATAAAGTTAGAAATGCTGGTAATAGAAAAGGCAAAAAGGAAAAGAGAAAGATAAAATCCTTCATTTCAAAGAAGTAAAGCCATCTTCTATGATTTTCAGAATGGAGTAACGCTGGTCAACTTTAATCAAACTACTTAAAGAAACATTAAAAGAAAAACTTCTGAGGAAGGGAACGAAATAGTCTTAATTAAAAGGAAAGATGCATGATCATCAGAACCCATTCCATCAAGATCATAACCATGGAGTTGAATATTATTCGTAAACAACACTACTGGCCCATGAAAACGTCATCAGTGCCAATCCAACTCCACATAGAGAAAAATCTTAGGAATTAATAGAAAAAAAAAAAAAACCAAGTTTCTGGACTAAAACATGAGTAAAAAGCTAACTCACGACCTATTTCTACGAGTTCAACATGTTAACAGACACACAGATAGAGATAGATAAATAGATAGATAGATTGAGAGAGAGAGAGAGGTTTTTGTTGCTCACATAGGTATTGAGCTGCCGAACAAAGCTTGAGAAGTTGTTGTGCTTGAAATAGTTGGGTAGGAGATCTCTTGCAAACTCAGGGGGTCTCCAGACCACAAAGGTAGTTTCATCTTCTCCCCAAGATACAATGTGATCTGTGCGGGGGTCATCCACAAGCTGGTATGTCTTAGTCAGGAAGGGTGCGGGAACTGCCTTGTGATAATCCACTGACAATACCATCTCTTCACACCTCTCCACCATGAATAACATACCAAAGGAAAGCAGACAAAGAAACCTTACCCTTGTAACTCACAGTCTCACACTGAGTCCACCCACTCAAAGATGTAAACAACACCTCCCTCCCTCTTCCTCTTTCTCTCTCTGGTTTCTGAATTTAAGAAACATATGGCCGTGTAAGTGATAAAATATTGACCTTTTCAAAAATTTATTATTATGGGATCGAATCAGCTATTAATTATATTTTGATTGTTCTCCCTGAGAAGTGAAGTTGGTTGATTCTGTCTACTTTTCTGCAATTTTGTCCATGCAGTTGTAATTACTTGGCTAGACATCATCTGATGATGGATTTGTGGTCCCTGTACCATTTGTCCCAAATTACACACTAAGTTCAATGATCAAGACCGTTCGATATGTTGGACAACCCTCCAATGGTGTATACACTAAAATAAATCCTCAGAGGATCCCTAACCTTCTGATCAAGAGTAAAAAGTTGAGTGTCCCATCCATTTCAATTGGTCTTCAGGGTGAAGGATTTCTTGTCCATTATAGCCTTGTCCCAGCTATTTCTTTTTCTTCTATTTTTTTCAAGCTTTAAGTTCTTTTTTCCCTTTTTTTTTCATTTAGCTTTAAGTTTTTTTTTTTTATAATTTTAACTTGTGTTCTTTTAGATTTGTGAAAGAAAATTGCTTAAAAAGTAAACAATCATTTTAACTTATGCACTTTTACAAGAGTTATATTAATTTCTTGACTTTCTATTTTTACCCAAGGAACATTCTTCCACTTTATTCACTTCTTTATTTTCCATTGTAAATTTCAAGGCATACCCGTGAATTAGATGGTATGGGAAAGAGGTTCAGTGGAAGGAACAAATTATAAGTCCTCTGGTATAGACATTTTTTTTATGAAAAATCATTTTCTATTCCTATTTCTGTCATTTAGCAGTATGGTTTTAAAAAATGAACCGAAAATAGAGCGGTTTTGGCCACTGGTTTTTAGGTTGACGGTTCGAATGAATGTTCTATTTTAATAAAAAAAATAAAAAATAAAAAACAGTAAAAAACTGTTCAATGAATCGATAATTTGACCGTCCGGATCAATAAATCATTGACTGATTCAACGATTTTTTACCAAAAAACAGATTTAAAGTAAAACGAAACTGATTAGCTAAATGATTTCCAGGCCGAACGGTTTAACCGTTAAGATCAACGGCAGTTCGAAAACCATGTTTGACGGTGTAATGGGGTTTAAAGAAATCCTTATAGTTATCTATGTGTAATAGATCTTTTTCATTGAATGCTTTTCTATAATCTCCATTTATAACCATTGTCCACGTGAAATAGAAGTTCCCAGAATCCAATTTCTCGGGAGACGTGGAAGGAGATTTTCTATGGAACTAATTATTTAAATTAAATTTACAATATATATGGACAAATTTAAGTGTATCACACTTGTGTACAATACACATGTTCGTCTGACCTAGGTGCTTCCCATTGTGTTATAGCCTGATCAATATTACTTATGCATCAAAGAAGAAATCTGCCAAACGAACGGTCAAAATTTGATCCATAAATTAATTGTGGTATACGAGGACAAAGATATATATTTAATTATGCACAGTCATTGAATCACATGACGGGGTGGTGTACACTATCTAGGTAAAGACTAACATGCATATAATGGAAGATAGCTGAGCAAATTAAGCTTTTAATAAATAACACATTTTCTGCGACCTCTCGATTCAGGACAAGCTCGAAACCTTCCAATGAGTATTGAATACGCTAATGCTTTAATTCGATATCGGTATGGTTTTAAAAAGTGACCCGAAAATAGAATTGTTTCAGTCATTCGTTTTTAGGTTAATGGTTCAATCGTCCAATTTAAATAGATAGTTTATTTTGATAAGAAAAATTAAAAGAAAATAATCAAAATTGTTGAATGGATCAACAATTTGATGGTTTGATCGTTCGGGTCAACAGATCGTTGATTTATTCAATGAATTTTGGTTAAGGACCGGGTTTGAATAAAACATAATTAATTGCCTGGATGATTCTCAGGTCGAATGGTCTGACTATCCGGATCAACGGCGGTTCAAAAACCATGTTGCCTTTTTCACCAAACATTGACTGATTGACATGCTCAAGGAAATGTCTTCTCCTTTTAATACAATATACATCAAATTCTCTCGCGTTTAATGGTATATGTTCCTTCACACAAATTCATAGTATGGAAAGCGCCAAAATAGCTAAGAAATGGCTCATTTGGCATGTCTTTTTGGGAAGATCTTGTGATAGCTCTAATATGCAAAAGACGCATTGAACTTTTGCATGAAGATCTGAGCAGCCTGAAGCATGTTTGGCAGACGTGTGTCTTTCCGCATAAGATTAAAACACAAGAGATGCAAGAAGCTTCATTTGTAGGTTCCTGAAATCAGCCCAAAATGGGCTTCTCGCGTCTTTTTGATATTCCATCTTTTGGCGGCTAGATCTTCTGCATGCCAAATGGAAAAAGACCATGCAGAAAGACGCGTCGATCAGGCCCAAAGTTTTCTCCAGCCATTTTAAGATTTATTCATGAGAGACAGGCTACATTAGAGCTAGTGGGTTCTTTCCCAAAACGCTTCAAAATGGAATTATCTCGAAGTTAAATAGTTTTTTTCTTTTTCTTTTTTTTTTCGAAGTCAAATATATATGTTAATGCAACAATGAGCCAAAAGTAAAAAGCACATACCCAGATTTGTTTCGATATATACAAAACATTTACAAAAAATTGATAGACTTCTAATTAGGAATGGAAACGGGATGGGTTCAGGGCGGGGATACATTCCCCATCCCCGACCCCGATGGGGATGAGTTCCCCGTCAAAGACCTGAATCCCCGACTTGAGAGAGAGACTCCAGACTTGCGACTTGCGAGTAGATTAAGATCTGTACTGAAATAGATTCAGATCTGTAATCTGTTTGAGATTTCAAAAACCAGAAATCAAAAGCATTGAGAGAGAGAGAGGACCATTACGGGCTTTGAGTTGTGGCATTGCCTCATGAGAGAGAGAGAGAGACGAAGAAGGAAGAACTGATCATCGGAAGAAGAAGAGTAGGGCACTACCATACTAGGGTTTCGAGTTTTAGGCATCTAGTTGCCACATCTATTCTTTCTTCTTCGTCTGTCGAGTGGTAGTAGAAGAGTTTCTCGGGAGTTTTAGGTTTTTGTCTTTTTAGTCTTTTACTTTTTTACTCTTTTTTGAGTTTTTGTAATTTGTGTAATGTTTAATTAATTGTTAGTTGAAATTGTTATTTGTTAATCAAATAATATATAATATTATAATATTATAATATAAATAATATATTATACATATTATATTAATCGGGGCTGGGGTGGGGTGGGGTAATCGGAGATTCAATGCTAATCCCATCCCCGACCTTAACCCCGCCAAAGCACTCCCCATACCCAGCCCCACCAGGTTGGAGAGTCTAGGTACCCATAGGGATGAGGAAAATTGTCATTCCTAATTTTAATCAATGAATAAACTAGTGTCATTTCCGATTAACATATATATTTTATTTCCTCGTCATTTTCTACTTGTTTGTCTTACATCAGTTTTATTGTAGGGTATCTAAGCTTAGAGAAGATTCTAGTCCGAATATCCTCAAATTAATTCTTTAAAAGGAAGCTTGAATGGGGACTTGAGATGCACATTGGTGCCACATACGTCACATGACTTACCTCTATCGTTTTGCATGTCGCCGGTGCCTAGCAAGTCACACAGGGAAAGCTTTAGGAACTTTCCCTCAACTTTATGTTTCTCTCTTATTTTCCATTGAACCAATAACATTGTCATGTTGTAATGCAACTCTTTACTAGTTGGAACCTATGCGATGCATGAAAAAATTCAATGTTCAATTCACCACATTACTAGATATTACTAAACAAAATAAAATAAGAAATACACAAATTATTGGAAACCAAGAGATAAATTCACCATAATTTAAGTACTATATATCACTAAATTACAATAATTCAAGGTCTAAATTATAATCATTTAATAATAAATACGTAGAACAAATAAAAAAACAATGAATACATAAATTAATGGAAATCAGTAATTAATCAATAATAGTGTAATCTCGAATTAATTAATCTCTAATAAATGTTAATCAATAAATAGTGTAATTTCCAATAATAATTTATTCTCTAATAAAAATTATTCAGTCATTTCCTAAAAATACATTACATTAAATTACAAAAAAATAGCATAATGAAAATAACAATAATTATTGAAAATTTACTATTAAGTAACAAAAACAATTAACAATGATTTTGTTGTTAACTAACAATAATTTAGTCTTCCAACAATTATTGAAATTTGCAATTAAAAAATGAAAAAACAACAATAATTTACTATTAAATAACAATACTTTAAGTATTTTTGGCTCTAACAACCCCTACACTTTGTGAAAAGGTCACTTTAGCCCTTTTATAACTCAAGGGGCTAATTTATACATTAGACTAAGTTGAAAAGGCCACTGTTAGCCAAAAAACATATGATGTTAGTGACACTGTTCACAATCCATTAAATAATGAATAAAACAAAAGGAAATGCTGATGTGGCATTGTTAAAATAAAAAAGCTAAAAAATTACATTTGCATCCCACTAAATAAAATAAAGACTACTTAGTGCATAATTGGTAAATATTGAAAATAATTTATAAGTGGGTTCCACATGAACTTTTATCTTTTCAAAGAAAAATAATAGGTGGTCCCACTTGAATTTTTTTTTTCTTTTAAGAAAAACCAATAGGTGAGTCCCACTTCAAATTATATGTCTGCTTCATCTCTTAGTCTCTCTCTCTACCGAATCTCCCTCCCTTGTCTTCTTCCTCCTTTCAACAAGCCACCACCACTGCAACTCTCAACAACAACGGTTAACACCCATCGTGAATGCAACATCGAAGTCGAGCTTGTGGTAGAACCAAAAAAACATCTCTCCCAAGCACCACGTTGGTGGAGTCATATAATTTCAATGTGAACTCCTTCATTGTCCTGTTAATACAAACAATGAAGCCCTAGGATTGAATCAGAGAAAAAGGAGAAAGACTGGAAAACAGAGAAAACCTGTAAAAATATCAAACAAGTTCGCCAAGGAAAACGAGAAGAAAGGGTGTTCCTTGCAACCAACCTAACATATAGATAACAATGACCTCCATAGCTGCGTGGACATTGAT